TGCACAACACCTCCCTCTTGTCCAGCCGTAATTTCCTCATCACTATTCGAACTGGAATAAGAATTTCAAATTGAAAGACAACCTTGCACGATCTACCAGAAAGAGGAAGGGTAACAGCGCTTACTTGAAATAAGTGTCAATAATTTCGTACGTGAGCTTATAAATCTCTTCGTTGTCGTGATTTTGTAACTGTTCGATTTTGTCCAAACCTGAAAAAAAAGATCACAAGCAAGTCAGTCAGCCGGATCAAAAATTGAAGAGACAAACTCTGCAGTACATACAGTTATAAATAATATTCTCAGAAACTTAGTTAAACGATCACAAAATGAGAATTCAGCAAAATTCGAGAAACGAACCAACCTCCACATTCCTCAATCTGCGTGCAGATTGCTTCCACACCAGGACCAGCCATTTTGAGAATATTGTTTATGCCATCAAGGACAACCTAGACAAGTACGATGAAACGCAAAAAGCAGATTACAAAAAGACAAAAGAAAAATTTTAATGATGCATGTAGATGAGCAAGTACACAATAATTTGTTAAATGAAAAGAAGAACTAAAGAAATGATCATTAGCACGCTACCTGAATGATCTGCGGTTCCTTACAATCCAAAAGAGCACAAAATGGCGGGATAACACCACAGTTCACCATCTGCTCGACTTGGTCAGGGCGTCCAGAGATGGTTACATTTGATACAGCCCATGCTGCTTCCTGCATTCAAAAAGAGGTATTATATGATGTAAACGGTAGAAACTTGTGAAACACCTTCTGCGTGGGAAAATCTGCCTTGCCAAGCAAACTGATAATCAGCGGCATCAGACCTGCATCGAGAACAGCTTGTACCTGGTTTTGGTTACCAGCAGTGATGTTCGATAGGAACCACACAGCCTCCTTCAACAGAAAACTCAAATTGACAAAAAGTTACAACAAAGCTGTGAAGAGAATTTGTCAACCTTATTGATTTTTTCTTTCTGATGAGAAAGAAGTTGCGGCATTTCTTGTAGCACACCGCAATCAAGCACGAGTTGTGTCTGTTCATCAGATCCTGTGACAATGTTACCAACAGCTCGTAGAGCAGCAGTTTGCACTTTAGCATCGGAATGGCCGAGCATAGGAACTAGCGATGGAACTATCTGTAAAGAAGAATTTTAGTCGTGCACTAGGAAATTTATGAAATGAACTTACTCCACTATCGATGACCATCTGAATTTGTTCATTACCCCCATCGGTAAGGTATGACAGAGCCCACACCGTATCGACAAGAATGTTGGCGTCCTGAAAACCAATACTAGCATAGTTCACATTAATCTAGTAAAAACATACGTCGTGATGAATCAATAGGACCAAAGCTGGCAATATTGTTTTCACAATTTCCGGAGTTGGAGGTGGATCTTTTGATCGGCACAAATTTACCTGGAATGATTTACATTCATATTCCAACTTACAAATAAGCCTGACTTACAATGACCCATGTGACGTTCCGCAAGAATCCAAGAGGTATTTCAGGTGTTATGAAGTTCAAAAGTAAAGGAAGAATCCCGAGTTGTAAACAGTAATCTCGGAAATGTGGACCATCACCTTAAAAAAAGTTAACTTTTGCGAATCGGTTGCATGCATAGTATGATATTACAACTAAAAAACTACTAACTTAGCTGCTTGGCTTTAGTTTCCCTACACTGACTATCATTCAACAAAAATGTATGCTTCCCCCAATATGTATAAAATTCATCCCTTCATAATGGTGACATACACATATGAACAATCATCGTCCATGATTCAATCCATATCACGTGAAGTCGTGCGTCAAACAACTCGAAAAAATCTCCTTCCAAAATCAGTGGCATAACAACAACATATGGCATGAAACAGGAATTTGCTCAAAAAGAAACTTCTTTTAATCGAATCATTTCGGTCCTTGATAAAGGGTCAGGTCGACAACAGTCACAAGGACTTATAAATTTTCCAAGGCTCAAGTGTTTGATTGAAGGGTCTGCAACCACGAAATTTTGACAGGAGCACTAACTCAATACAATAATTCTGCTCTATACGGTGTTATGGTATAGGTGGCTAATGTTTCCAGTTTTCCGACTCGAAGAATGCGAAACTATCAAAACACCAGTCGAACAAAATTATACCGATATGGGACCAACTGAGGAAAAGTGCGAACCAATACAGTTCGACAAGGCTTTAGAAATCCCAAGTAACGAATACTGCAACTTCTAAAGGGTTTAGAAGCAGAAAAAAGTTATAAATAAAAGCCGAACTCACCAATTATATTACCCAAAGCCCAAACTGCTTGTTCGCAGACGTTCAAGTTACCACTCGACAAAAGCTGCAGGAAAAGTGGTACAGCACCAGCGTTCACCTTAAAAAACAATTCATAGCTTTATAAAAACAGCATTTCTTCATAGACTGGAGACGAAGCGACTAAAGCAGCACTACTGCAAGAGGCAAACTTACCACTGCTTGAGTTTGCTCTGACGTTCCCGATGCAATATTTGTAAGGGCCCAAGCAGCTTCAAATTGCAGATTTACACTTAAATATACTATTTTTGTTCCTGCCATCAAGAAATCTATGAAACAAAGAAGCGATGAACTAACTCATCAGAAACGAGGCAATTTACAAGAATAGGTAAAATATCGCTGGAAATAAGATCATCAATTGGTGGGTTTCGGTCAGAAGACAACATTTTACGTGCCTGTAACGCTTAAAAATTCACGCGAAATCAGCTACAAAAAAAAAGACAAGCAATACCTGCTGAACTGCAGCCAATTTGATACTCAGATCATTACTACGAGCCATCGTTACTATTTGATGTAAGAGATTGCTATCGAATGGTCCCGACTGGGCTGAAGTTCGAACAACATTTTCATCCCTGTAATGAAAAATTTCGAATTACTGACAATACTGTAGTAGGATAAGATACAAAGAAAAGAAAAAAACTTTTGAGAACTTACTGGGCGTTGATATTACGTCGTTTTGATAGCAAATCTTCCCTCTTATCTTTACGAATTGTAACTGCCTGTAAAAAAACGATTCACACGGTTTTAAGGCAGCTCTTTATAATAACTGATTAACTCTCAAATCATTCAGTTTCTCACTATTACCGTCGCTGATCTAAAAACTATGAAAATAGAAAGATACCTTATGCAAAA